CGTGCTGTTGTGACACTAGGATGTTGTTGCTCTCAAGGTATCCCATGAGCGCCTCTGCGATTATGCCTTCCATTAGTTTGGACAACACTGGGAGGAGAGTGATTGGACGGCAGTTCGAAGGTCCCGCAGGATTACCAAATGTTAAAGAGGAGTGACTAGTCCATGTTTCTATGTTGTGTGAACCTGCATTTCATCGAGACAACATTGAAAGAACCGATATAATGGTTCGGCAATGTTCATGGCGGCTGTCTTCAATGCCTTCGGTCTGATGTCGTCCAAGCCAGGAGAGCTGTTCACGCGCAGTGACAATAGTCTTCCCATCACATTGGCTGCCGTGAAGGATACATGGTTCAATCCTGGTGGCGGTGGGAGATGATTCATACTGAAAAGTGTGAATGAATTGTTGGCGAAATGCGATGGCCGCATCATGCGTAGTTTGCTCCAGACCATCTGTTGCACGTAAAATCAGGATCCTGCGCTGCACTTTGCTGAGATACCACAGTACTTTCGCTAAGATACCCTGCGTAGCATATGTAGCGGAACACTAGCATCGCATGATCACTGCGACCCAAAGGAGTGCACGTTGCTACTACGTGGAGCATGAGTTCCTCGATGGTGGAAACGAGGTCCAAGATGGCCCGTTGGTTTTCCTGTCCTGAAATGCGTTAGAAAAGTGTCATGGTTGTACAGGAACGAACCGGCAATTACCTCTTGCAGTTTCACCTTGAATTGTTCAACGAGAGTTGTTTGGAGTTCTAGGGCGTGCAGCTGGAAGTCCCCTACCAGGAGAAAGTGGCTGTAAGTTCGTGTTAGTAGGTTCTTCATAGCAGTGACCAGATTCTGGTCCATTTCTAAAGTGGACAATGGTGGGCGGTATACAATAGCCACTAAGCATATATTGCCCTGCCTTAGGTGTGTACGGCACCATAAGGGGTCTACGGTTTGAACCCAAGGGTCGTTTACGTGGGCAAGGTCGGAACAGTAGCAAAAATGTACACCGCCTCCGGTAGTCGGTCGGTCATTGAGCAATAGTGACATACCAGGTAGTGCGATCTGGGCGTCAGCAATCACGTCGTTCAGCCGTGTCTCGGTTATCAGGAGGAGGTCCTGAAACGTGGAGGCTTGACGAAATCAAAGCTCGGCCAACTTGCTTTGAAAGCCTTGAGCGACTGTATGCAATTAATTGGGAGCTGAGAATTTCAGAAGCGCATCTGAGCACAATGTTTCCTGTGAAGTTATGTCGACCCCTGTGGGACCGGCTGACAACCGTTTTTGGAGGTATTCCTGGTTTACCACCCGGGGCTGTTTCAATGTGTTGCAGTGCACCCACTACCTAACCCTTCAAATGCAACGTGCTGCTGATTACCTGCTTCTTTCTCTTTGGAGGGCTGCGGAGTTGCACTGCGCTCTGGTTCGGAAACGCAGACACCTGGGTTCACGACCGAATCTCGCTGATTTTTTGTTCCTTTAGCTTCGACCGCCTTCAGAGGTATTTCTGATGGCGGTTTGGTGCGTAACTTGTGCCGAATTCCGAGCAGCCATTCAGCCATTTCTGGAGTGGAGCAAGACCTTCATCACTTTTGGACCACATCTTCTATAGTTTGGTGACATGGGTAAACGATACGTTGAGTTGGTAATCAGGGATCATCGAGAGAAAGAGTGAGCTACACGGATGTAGCGCCACTCTTTCAAGGCATGAGCTTTGGCTTGCAACTCATCGGAAAATTGAATTTCGGAAACAACATGGACAAAGATTGATCTTTCGTCGTTTTGCTTGCAGTATTCTCCTGGGTTTTGATTCCTTTACTGACGCTCACTTCAAGGGATGTAAGGGAATGTACGAAGGTCGTATGAGGAGTCATGAAGACGGTTAGCTGACAAGAGAGCGGCCTCCGCTTCGTCACCCGACTGAAATGTCACCTAAAGTAGCCTTTGTTCGCCATAGTGAATTGAGTATCAGTGGCAGACGATGCGGAACAAACTGGCCTGTTTGGCCTGGATCCGCAGTGCTTCCCATATGGATTGCCATTGTTTCAGATCGCCCAATAGTTGGTCTTGGATCGAGTTTGCCTTTGACTCAAGCACGTTAGAGCATATTACCTTCAACGAGTTCTGCGTCGTCCTAGTGTTCAAAATTTTGGATAAGAGCGTGCTTTCTTTCTCTGACGGCGCTGTAGGCGGCCTTCTCGGAGGCGCATTGGCATTCGTGCCATTTCTACCACGCTTTGGGGTAGTTGCAGACATGAACGCTAAATTTGATTTGGGCCTGCATGCAGCAACGACGGAAGCGTATGTTGTCAGGCTACTGGTAGTGTTGGATACATCTGAATACAATGAAGTATCATATCTCAGAGACGAACCACAGGGAAAAAGTACTCCATACAAGATTGGGATCACCGAGGTTGATAAACACTGGCTGTCCGCCTGCTTGCTAGTCCTGGTGGTTGGGTAGCTAACTCTACGCTGTTAACTATACGCTTGATTTCGCTGCTCGGTCCCGAGATTGAGCCTAAGTTTATACAACGGCGGTCGGGTTCTGCTGCAGCTGGTTCCGATGCGGCCACTACACCAGCCGTAACACGCTCCATACTCGCTGTCAGTTTGTCACATTCCAGTTCCAGCACATCGATGTACCTTACGAGTGGGTTTATCATACATTCTGTACAGAACCAAAGTGAGTCTGGTGGGCAGTGTCTGTTTCAATTCCGCCATGCTCAAAATTACGAACTTAGGATGGAACTGCCCACTGCAGTTACGTGTTATTCCAATTCAAATAGGCTTGGAGCACAAGTTCGAATCGCAGAGAACTTCTGTCTGCGGCTGCGTGAACCTTGTGGACCTTGTTTTCTTTGTTGCGGCGTTGAGAACCGTGCTAAAGCCTAGCATCAGTCACGTGGGTGGATTCTGATTGCTGTTTAGTTAACAGCTTTTAGCGCACCGAGGGTGTCGGGACAGGCACACGAAGTCAGTTGATAATGTCCTACGAGTGGGACCTCAGGGGTGAACAAAGCCGACAGAGGTCAACACACAACCTATTTTGTTATAGGCAGTGGGCGCTATGCTATGAATCGGGCAGCGCTCCGGCTTGGTGGAGAATTGAGTGCTGAGGAGTGTGGTAGAATTCGGGCTAATTCGGTGATTGATAGGATAATGGATGCTAAACGGACTGCAGCTATCAAAAGGAGTGTCGAAGTATTGTAGTACACAAAGCGTTGGATAGCGGCAAGAGCACTCTCGAATGATGGTAAAAAGAATGGTTTGCAGTCGAAAAATAAGGTGGATGTTTGGGTACGTTTCAGAGAAAATCCTGCTGAAATTGCAGCACCGGATGCAGCGATCGTGTGTGATAGACAGTGCTGTAATGGTAGATCCACTTAATAGCGCTGGTAAATCTGAGTTGAACAAATGTAATCACAGTAATGTACACCGAGAATTGAGGCTAATAAGTTCAGAAAGAGAGGAGCGTCGAAATAGTGCGGCTACAATTTGAGTTCCGAACACAATGTGAGCCACTTATCGAGGTGAGGAGATAGTAAACGAGTAGGCCCATCAGCAACACTCGTATCTAGTACAACCAGGCTTCATATATCAGTATTGTAGAAAGGTCCATCCAAAAAGAGTGTAGCTTGAATGAAGCGACGAGGTGTAACACACACATCGATACTCCTAGGAATGGGGTTTGCATTACTCGTTCTGTGCAACGTGCGTGCAAATCAATCAGACATTAGGCCGCGAGGTGCTTTGAAGCAGCTCGAACCCAAAGGTTGTGTCCGAAGTCGACATTTCCCGCTTAAAACACGGCCTTCGAAGTGACCAAACTTTACAGCATAGTAAGTCATAGTAGTCATGAAAAGCGTCACAATCGGTACATAGAACGAGTATTTCACAATACCAATAACTCACCGACCATTGTTTGTGTGTCAGGATGCTCATTCGGTTTTGAAGAAGTGGGCGTATAGGTGGATCCGCCCATCCTAACGCACCCCTTCGTCGCTTAAAGTATCGGCACGAAAGTGCACTAGGCAGCCAAGTCTACTGAATCAATGAGGGATGGAATCGACTGCGTAGTGTGTCTACGGCCATGTGGGCAAGCCTTTCGAAAGGGCTATTTTCGCCCCACTCCTCACGTGCAATCGTAGATGGGTTGCAAAGTGTAGACCGGAGCAAACTATTTCGAGAGTGTGTTGCACGAGCAACCACGACCGGCCAAGACAAACCAGTGAAAATTGAGTACAACGAGAGGATGACGGCAATTGGGAATATGAAATATTTCACATACACACACACACACAGGCACACACGGCAAGACAACATGTTTCTAAATTGGGCCATGCTACATCCATAAAGTTTGGCGGCTCGTTACACTGCTACCCACGTGCGCCCAATGCACTGTAGACTGGTGTGAAGTTGAGTGGAAGCAAGCGCCTCTGTGGACAGCGTGTGGCACATCGAGGCAAATGTCTAAGCAGCTCGTTATCTTGTGACACTATGTATGATTTCGATAAATGCTGGATTGCGTGGTATGCTAAGCTAAAAGTAGGTACAGTTAATGCGTGTGGATTACAAAACCAGATCAGATAAAACACAGGTGATTCGTCTGATGATTCAAAATACTGCACTAAGCCAAACAAAATAATCGCCATAGGTGTTTAATCATGGGCAGCATCTAGATGGATGAATGCTTCGTTCAGGGTGAAAAGAATAGGGCTGCGAATGGCGGAACATTGTACACATAGAACATTAGAATATGACAGAATAGGTGACCTGCTGAGAGAAATTAAAAAAGATAGCAAACAAGAAACACTCCTCAGAGCATCGAAGAGGTTGATTACAGACTAATACTCCGTGGAAGTATTGGGATGAAGAATTCAGTACATTGATAGACGCATAATAGGGAAACTAGCAACAGTGAGTCAATTTGGATTTGCGTAGCCGCAAAGTTAAACGGCGATGTGCCGCTGCTCACGAGCATTTGTTATACACAATGCCGCTAAGCTTACCGATCGATGTTCCACATCCGGATGGACAGGATTCGGTGGAGCCCAATTGACGTGATAGGATATACGGCAAGCGCAACATGCTGGTGGATGAAACTCGTCAGAAATCCCGGTAGCGTCACGCCCAGCTTTGCAGTTTTGTAATGCATTGGTGCCACATTTTGACGCATGTTGAGACGGAGTTCCTAATCCTCCTAGGGATAACGAGGAGAAGTAGATTGGCTGGGTGAATTTGCGTGGAGGATTAAGGAGAAATCGTTAAAGGGGGATCAGAGGAAGTTAGAGCAGAGGAACGGTCTAACGGAGTTGAGGAGACAATGCTAGTTACCACTCTGAATTGTATAATAGAAAGAATTATAAGCGCACCAAAGAAAAACAGAAGCAGAACAAACTGTGAACTGGAGATCGCTTGTGGTGTTGCGTCCGAAGCATTGGAAGACCGGTAGTGGAACGAATGTGAATATAATCTTAACGAACAGTGCAGAAAGTGTAAAGCAGGCACACAATGGGTCAACTAATGAAAAACAGACAGATTTGCACTGTTCAACAACCACGAGGTTAGCAGACGTACTGAATGTACATGAATCGATGGCATGGGTGAGTCAACTAGGTAGAGGAAAGCCCGAGAAGAGAAAGTACAATAAGGTGCGCAACATTTCATACTTAGAATCTGTCGAGGACGGGAACTCGTGGTCGAAACAATATGGATGGCAACGTGATAATGTGTTTGATAACAACCTCGCACTTTTATCAAGCGGAATGAAGTAATTCACCGTAAGATGCGGGAGTTACAAACAAGATAGCGATGTCACAATGAAATCTTCCTTGTGAAATAGATGAATCGGGGCCAGAAGTATTCCTTACTCTTTCAAGAAGATTACGGGATGGTAAGTAACTATCGTATTCTGTACACATTGTCACATGACATCAAGAATGGCGTTCTTCGGACGCGTCTCACAATACTGGACGTCAAAGTATACAACTCTCAGGTAAACCATTTTTAAGAAGAGGGAAGTGTTAAGGAATTTGCACTCAATGAGAGGTTGAATGCTAGTCTATGTGGGGTTCAACAGCAAAGTTCAACTCAGAACTGAACCAATTTGATTAGTGTTAATTGATAGTAATCAGCATCTTCGATATTGTTATTGGTTATGATGTGTTTAGTAGCTTAGCTCCATTCTATTTATATCGCTGTGTTCCAACGACGCATTACAATTCTCGGTCCGGCTGATCTTTAGTGTTCTCATTACCGTGCGGAGTGGAACCGGTTGGGGACATCACAACACAAGCAACATCGTTTGCCATCGCAAAAGAATCTGGTTAAAGACAGCGTGAACGTTTATTTGCTCTACAGTACGCACCATAATGTGTCAGTGGCAATACGCATTGCGTTTGTCCTGACACTATGCCTCACAAGGTAATATTGCCCCAAACACCAAAGGTAATGAGGATAACGCGTTGGTCTTCGAAAAAAGGTTGTGTTCAAACAAAGATGTATGGGCATCTTCCCAATTTCATCATCGCAAAACAAGGCAGGTGGCTGACGGAAGACCGCGCACGTTGCATCAGTGTTCACTATGGATAGTAAACGGACTATCCCTTGGGTACAACTTTTGACGCAGTTGATTCTCGTCAGTAGATGTTGTAGTTATCCATGAGCAGACGTATAGCATGTGTTCTCGAAAAAACCCACGTGGGCTACGACACAGCAACCAATCGCAGATAATAGAGCGCTGCTGGGTCAAGTCGGTCATTCCGATTAGGTTAGACGGTTCCTACGTACAGTGGCACACATGCGACAGGAGACGAAATATCAGCTGATGGACCAGTCTCACACAGGAACAGCCCATTAATGCGACCAAGGCAAAACAGAAAAAGGCGAGTACCGAAAGACGTACCGTAATATGTTGACTGGACAACAAACAATGAGCCAGTAGTGGTGTAAGATAGAACGTTGCTAGTCTCTTCGGTTAAAAATTGACATACAAGCAGGACCTGGTTGAGCTGGATGCGTGGTCATCAAGCTCCAGACGAGGTATTCAGCTTAGGCGCCAGCACTTAGCGATAAGGTAGTGCCAGTAGACCGGCTCCATTCGTATCTATGCGTTTAAAATAGATGAACACAGCTGTTTTCGTTTAGGTTGAACAACAGACCGGTGTTAAACGAGTAGAAAACGACTCTAGCACACATGTCGAGCATTGGTCCGATGAAAATGCAACTTATGCGATAGCAACAGCTGTGAAGGCGGAAATGGAAGACGTGTTAAGCGCACGAACCAGCGTGCAATTCATATGTGGTGGCCCAATGGCCGAGATGAAAGACAAGGTGCTGTCAACTATGGGTAACAGTGGCTGGAAACTTTTGCAACGGTGAAATCCTATGTTGTTGTCAGTTGATAATTTATGGCACTGACGCAGGATCAACAAGCATCGGTCGGCATTGGTTTGTGCACATGTTGGCTCTAAACGGAACACGCTAACCGTAAAGATCGCGCCCCGCAGATCGTTCACGTGACAGCTGGCACACGTGACACGCAGAACCGATAGCTAAGTGAACCCAGCGGTAAACACTTTTGGTCATTAACATCGACACCTTCCACTGGTTACGTGTTATGCACAAAAATAGGCTGAGCTTCATTTATGATGCCATATAAGGGGAAATGAAGCGTCTTAGATGCAAAATGGGATATTTTTCGCACCCATTGGACAGCATGATTACGAAGGACCTACATCAAGGGAGTTCAGAGGGTTACGTAGGAACAGAAAACTAGGGACCGGGTACGATTGTTCAGAGGAGGACAGTTACGAAGTAGAAATCAAAAATCGCCAATCATCATCCTGGTAAGTGGCGCCAAACTAGAAAATGATGTGGTGAGAAGTTGGCAAAAGTCGGTAGGAAGCAAAGTGGGATCATAGGAGAAAAACAGGGATTCATTATTACGCGGCGTCACGCGGTTAAATTCAGCGGCACTGAAATCTCATACCTCTCGAATGGAAAATGCTCTTGCTATACAGCTCCTACGCTAGATGCTGGAAGAGAGTGAAATGGAGTGAACTTGTTGATTGGTTCCACAGGGGGTTACCAGTCACTGTTGCGTTCGTTTCAGCCGCAGTGAGGTTCCGTAAAGTCACGCAAGCACTATGATGGGGTTGTTTGGAAGATGAATCCCTCAGTTAGTACATCAATGCAGATAGAAGAATGTAAAACTCAGGCGACAAGTGACAGTGCAAGAAGCGCACGAGTGGGTGGCGAGAAGCAAATCCCAGCTAACTCGGGACAGCGAAACTAATATGCGCTGGCAGATAGAGGGACAAGGCTAAGTGAGCAAACCTACGATTATTAACCACGTAGAAATTGCAATGCGAAGGGCAGTCGTGAGTCGCACGCGAAACAAGTGTGTATACACCCAGTAAAAGCACTGCAGAGTCAACGGAAAGGAACAATCATGCAACCTGGTAACCTAGTTGCAATCATGATCAGCGTGGTAGACAGTTAGATCACCCACACTGGATGGACCAGAATAAAGTGATTGGCTGTGGGAACACAAGGAAATGGACTTCACTGTTGTGGCATTGGGTGTGAGAATGATACGCCGTTGAAAATGTAGTGGTATGTGTCAGATGAACCAAGTCCATAAGCCAAAATCGATCGGTGTCTAAAACCAGGGACAAGAGTTTTTGCTTCACGCGTCGCATGTGAGAGCGTCCACTAAAGAACGACTCACCTACACAAGAACGTGTGACTTGTAAACTCGTCACGACCACTGAAACGAGCATCCCAAGGCAAACGCCCCACGTGATGAAATTTTTCACTGAGCCACTCAAGTGTTTGCGAGTCATGTGTTCAACAGCACAAATGCTCGAATTGACGTATCATGAGTTGAAGGCCTACTCCGGCACGTGGGGGAACTGACCATAGCCGAAGATTGAGGACGACACCTGTGCATGAATTAGGAATCATAGACTCAAGACCTCAAAGCCTAACACAAAGCCTGTGTAAGATGAGCGGGGATCTACCCACATGGATGTATCAGTGCCACCCAGCTGCTCAAATGGCCGCGTGTATGGGCTGCTGCAATCAGCCCATAGGTACACGTGGAAGAGGGGGACGAAACTTAACAAGACCGAAAAACGTCGACCCAATGATCCTGTCTGGCTTGGCATTAAGATGAGAGGTAAACAAAACCGAGGGTTTCGCGATTAAAGAAAATTGCAAGATGGGCATCAATCCAACTGCAAAGATGTGGCCCTGCAATGTCCATAGAGTCACCAATCAATGAGAAAAGTACTGAGAAACTCACGGGGTAGTCATTTGAAGCAGCCGTTATGTGAATGGTTTGCGATGCGCATTGGCTGAAAGGTAGTTCCATTCATACTAAACTCACTAGCTATGCACAGTGAAGGGCTAGAACTTGTGACCCCTTTTAATTTGGTGTTTAAGACGGTAAGACAACAGGGAATGTCGACAGACAGTGTGCCAAAGTCACCGGTCTAAACGTAGTGTGACTCATCCTTCAAGGCTCTAGACCCACTTGCATACAGGGGACAGGTCCGGACCTCAGAAACATGCTCTTGTGGGATTGTTGGCTCACCGATTTTAATCGTGTACAGATTAATTGATCAAAAATAGATACTAACACAGTGTAGTCACAGATGAGCGCGTAAAGGATTACGAGTCTGCCTTATAGTCTCTGAAAGTTACTGGTTCGAATCCGCGGAGGTGCGGGTGACCTCGTGGCACGTCCAGCTCACGCGTGATTGGTGGTGATCGCATGGCAACAAAGCGTCGGTACTGTGTGCCGGCGTACTACTGATACCACAGGTTCGGAGGATAAAATAACTCGCAGTCGAAGAGGTCAGAGTGATACTGCGATAATGATGAAGAACCATGGTTGGCGGCATCCGGTTTCGGATTTGCCTGTCACTGTGGCAAGCCACAGGACGCCTGCGCCTACAGAGGGACCATGGATGGCTTGCGCTGCACCACCCACAGCTCCAACCACATACCCCATATCCAGTGTAAACCCGAAGGAATAAGACCGGGAGGCATGCGGATGGGAACCACGTTTCATCAACGGAGCCGGCCCACACTCCTTCACAGGCAAACACAAGCACGCTGTATTTGGGGAATCAACCGCACACAAGGCGGTGGCTGGACCGTAGTCCGCTCCACACTGAGTGCATGGAACCGCTC